ATAGCCAAACTCTAGTTACTTGCATGTTAGTTTGGGGGAGGTTAAGGCTGCAAAAGCAGAAACAGCTTCAGTCGACAGCACAGGGGACCCTCAAGGTGTCTATGTGACTAGGGAACCCGCACCACTTCCCGACCTAGAGGCCTATCTGGGCTCTCCCCGAATGGCAGATGACCCCCCTAAACCCTAAACCCTAAGCCCAAGCTTTAAACCCCTTATAGAATCCATATTCGGATCCCCGCAACCCCCAAGTATCCCGCCCTCCATGAGATGCCTGTCCACAAATGCTCGCCGCAGGGAGGGCTGCCTGCAAAAGAAACGGAAGTGTTGGGCACTAGTCCACAAAGTACCTCTATGTTATAGGATATTATAGGATAATATGCCATTTTAAAATATATTACAGTAGATTACACTACAATATGCTATATTATAGTATGTCATAATGAATTATAATATAGTATGCGTCCACCGAAGGTCGGCCTTAGATTTGGGGTTCAGGGGGTAGGGCGGTTGTGCTCAAGGCACGGATGCTACTAGTACTTGGTCAAAGGTCTAAGGCCTCATACTCTTACAGGGCCTACACAATTCCCCATGTGAGAGGTCTACTTGGGGTACGTACCCTATATTGTATCAATACATGTTAGGACCATGGTACAAGAATTTACTTGGACTCCTAGATTAGCATCTCGCAGGTGCGAAGTTTCATGCCATGAGGGTTCCCCTAAACCCGAAACCCTCATATAACTGTAAACCCTGAACCCCACATTCCCCCCCTTCCGTCTTGAGCACCAGTAGGTTTAAGGAATTTAAGGCTTATGATTGAATCCATCCAGCCCATGTAGACAAAGAAGGTAGCATGCATGATGAACCCTAAACTCACGTTATGGGTAAAGGGCCGTTTCGGTTTTATCGCCCAGAAATACCCAACTGCCCCTGGCACCCCTAAGTTCATTCAACAACCTGCCCCTTGTAAGGTTTCAAGTTCAGGTTTAGGGTTTGGAGACTGGGAGGTTTCCTGCCCTAGAGCGATCCCGATCAAAACCTTTCAGACACTTGGCGTACTTCTCTTACGCAGGACACGTGGGATCCATTTGCTGATGTTATACCCCTCTTTGAAAAATACTTAGACAGCTGTCATCTGTACACGTCATGCCACATCCTATAAATCTATTTATCAAAGTGCACGCTTATTGTTGCTGGAGCTGGAATAATGCTGCTCCTGGAAATGATGGATTCTTTACCCTCCAAGTAATGTTTCATTCCCCTTTCAGTATGAGTTTCCACAAGAAATTGTCGGTATTAGAATCGCCCACCTCCAACCCCTTTAAAGACAGTTACTGGCAGACGGAATGAATGGCGACTCCGACCCCTACAATCAGGACCCTAGAGCTAGCATGTGATTGTAAGAGGATCTCAAGTTTCGGGTTCTGGTTCTTTGGCTCTCTCATTATTTATCGGGAAGGTCCCCTAATTTTGATCAGTCTGTTGGGAGCCCATTCATGTACTCTCCAGTAGAGCCAAACCCTAAACCCCAACCCTGCTTTTTGGTAGACAGCAAAGGCGCAAGGCCACGAGGACATAGGCATTTGACTAGATTCGGGTTTCATGTACCCCCGCTCGTAGGTGCTATTCTTTTGATGCAATCCTAAACCCTAAACCCTGTTTGATGCGCACTTTAGAAAGTAGACTTGGGCACATTTCAACATGAGAGGCAGAGCCTAAGCCAAGTAGGGTTTAGGCTTTTAAGGTTTAGGGTTTTGGGGTTTAGTGGTTGAGGGTTTGAGATTGAGGGCTTGAGGGTTTAGGGTTAACGGTTAAGGGATTGAGGGTTTGAGGTTGAGGGTTTAGGATGCTAGGGTTTAGGCTTAGTGTTCTACGGTTCTATGGTTTAGCGGCATGCCCAAACACCGCGCCTGAGTTCAAATACTGAATGTCATATACTTCCCCAAAACCTGTACTATAATTAATTACCATTACCGAAATAGCAGGTTGGACTTGGGACCTTAGGGCCTTCTATATCCGACAATATTTCCCAAACCCTAAACCCTGAGCTCTAAGCCCTTAATCTGAAGCCCTAAACCCAGCAGCCTAAACCCTGAAACCCGGATCCCTTTTTCAAAGAGTTGCAAGCACCATTTCCCGCGGGCTGCGGGCAAAGCGCCCTCTCAGCCATTTCAGGAGATTCTCTCAAAGGTCTCCGATACCTGAGCAAATGCCAATGCATGGGAAACCATATGAAAACGAAAACGGAACATGACATGGGCACTCTACATTTTAGGGCTTAGGGATTTGTGTTTTAGGATTTTGCCCTCGATGAAGGAGAATGAGGTGGAAAAGAACATAGACAATGAAACGGAAAACAGGTTTATGCAGGGGGTTGTAGAGGGCTTTGGCAACGCCATCCCCAATACTACCAAACCTTCCTACACTTCTACCCTATATTACTATAGTAGTTTCCATGTTCTTTTCCATTATCCCTGTATAACCCCAATATATACCATAGTAGTTCCCATTTTCTTTTCCATTCTCCCTATCTAAATCAAGCCGGAAAAACTCACCTTCCTAAAGCCCTTCGACGGCAACAGTTGCTAATCGTAAGGACATGACGCGGCGAGTTAGCCCCTCGCCCCCAAACTCTGATTCCTATAGTCCCCCTGTAGTAGGTAGAATATGGCTTTTGGGCATATTTTCAAGATCCCCATATGCCCCATATTCTATCTTCTTCAGGGGGACTATAACTCTAAACGTTGAGGGTTTGGGTTTCAGCCCTATCCCTAAGTCTTTAAATAATGCATAAGTTGGGCTAAAATGAGTTACTCTGCAGGCATTTTGCGCCCAATTTACTTCTGTTGAGGCACTTAAGTATTGGTCTCTTAAACTGAAACGTAAGCCTGCTAAAACACATTTGAAGAATCTGTCTCGGAGCTTCGAGAAGCAACCTCGTAGGCTAATTGGGTGCCTTCTAGATCCATGGAGATCATGCAGAGACTTTACGCGGTGGTGGTGAGTCGGAAATAAGGGAGTATATGATATAGCGACTATACAGAGATTATATACCTTTATTCCTTACTGGCCACCGAAAAGTTCAGGGATCACCCCAGTTGAGAATCTCTGGTATGACAGATTGTGATCATGGTCCAGTCTGTGGGTAGTTACCCTGTATGTCTTACAATTGGAGCCGAGAAGCTTAGGGTTTAGGGTTTGGGGCCACAATTCAGAGACCCCCCCCCCCGGCACAAGTCCCTATGCGATGCAAAATCTTCACTACACCTCCACACAAAGGCCCCAGATTTGGGCGCCGGACACTTTGCGGTTTAGGGCTGAGGGTTTAGGGAGCAGGAGGGTGCCGAGGGCATTTACTTATGCGCACAAGCCCCTAGCCTTTGGAAACCTGAGCTGGAACGGTGCAATGTTAAGGAACCTGAATGAAGGGATCACATATGTATATACATATATATATATGTGCATATATATATATGTATATATATATATGCATATATATGTGTGGATTATATGGGGATGATGGAAAAGACAATAGAAACTACTAATTACTATTTAAATGTCTTTTGGCTCGTCGTGCCCCTGTAAATGCAGGGACAGGCCCTGAGCCATGAAAACGAGTAGCGCCGTTCTTGCGGAAATCCCCCACCCGGTAATGGGTATCACCAGGGACTAGTGTATGTGTGTTAAGGCTCTATTAACTCCATATTTAGGGGCGATTACTGTAGAGGGGATTGACCTCAGTCCATTCCAGAAAGCCCGTTTCCAGACTTGCCCATACTTTAAGCTCACAACCTGAAACGCTAGGTGCTAGTACTAATACTACCAAGAATGCCAATAAGAATATGACTCTGATCATAAGCTCCGACTTGACCTACTAAACTGGGCTGCTGTTTAAGGAGCTTAACTTCAGTCACCATGATATGGGTATATGGGAATAACAAGGTCTCCGTATCATGTTGATAATATTTAAATCCTTGACAGCAACCCAGTAAATTCCCAAGCCCTTCCTGTCTGTGGGTTCCCAGATGAGTGTTTTGGGTGGTGTAGGTACTTTTGACGGCTAGAAATACATGGCCACACCCTATATGCAACAAGTATACAATCCTTTTGTAGCCCGTTATACGTCCAAAGCTGTAGACCACACGCCCTAAGCTCTGAACGCTAACTCTAAACCTTACAACCTAACCCCTAAACCCTCTAAACCCAGAACCCAGAACCCCTCTAAGCAAAGAACTCGAAACCCTAAACTCGATTCATCTTCACGCTTTTTTCGTCGTGCTTTGAACCTCGGGAGGCCCCTGCTCACTCCGGCGCCGCTTTGGCGCAGCCAGTTCAAGAGGTTAATTAATCGGTGGATTCTAAAAATCCTGCATAAATCTAAGTACCTTATATCTGGCGGGATTTTCGTGCTAGAGTAAACTAGGGTCCTGCAGGAGCTGTAGTATCAACAGTAAGGAGGCCAAAGCAGTTACCAATCTTATCTTGAGCTCTGTTTGAGGTATGCTGTAGTTAGCATCTAGGACCACAATAACTATTCGCGCTTCTACGCTGTGGTTTTGTAAGTCGGACAACTGGTAGGAAAAACAGTGTCCAAAATGAAGCTAGGATGAAAGCCAACGTTGATGGAGGCAAGTTTGCCCCACTTGTGATCCCAACATGAGCCATAGTCTAAACTCCTGGTATCCCCCTTGATAACCCCTATCATACTCGTAGTAGAACCCCGTTTAAGGAGTCTAGAACTACAGCTCACAGATTGTCGAGGAACTCGGTAACCTACAAGGATGCTGAATTCCCATCCTGAAGCTTAAACCCTAAACCCTACTCCTTAGGGTTAGGGCTTAGGGTTTAGGGTTTAGGGTTTAGGGTTAGGGCTTAGGGTTTAGGGTTTAGGGTTTAGTCACACATGGGTTGCAGGCAGCGTGCACAGCGAACAGTGCAGCACCGCCAGATGTCCGTGGTCCGATCCGTGTTCCTATAGACATGTGCCGCAGGATACACATTCATGGCCGCAATGGCCTGGACAGGTCAGCTATCTTTTTGATAACTCGACCAGCACGCCACTCCTGGAAAAGGTTTCTAGAAATAGCAAAGTCCTCACTAGAAACCCCAACCAGAACGGTCTCAACCGCAAAGCAAACCCCACAAATAGCCCCACGGGCCAACCAGCCTCTGGCCCCGAACCTAATCAGGAGTGGTCGCAAAACTTGTCGGACGCAGGAAACCCAGTATGACAAGGTTCGCCCCCGGTACTGATCGCCGCAACCAAACACCATAACCACCAGAAAAACCAGCTCAATCCAAGAGACCCAAAACCTAGGGGCAACCTCCTCATCACTGGTCAGCAGCCTCTGAACGATGTCCCTTGCCTCAACTTGTCCAAAACCACCACTACACTTGATAAAATGAAACCAGTTGGGCGGGAACAAATCTGCAAAGCCATCCCTCATGTGAGCCTCACACTGTACAAGCTCGGCGAGTGGAACATCCTCATGATCCCCGGTGTGCCTCCTTGCCACATTCGTGGCCTCGGCAACCTTGACGTACTGCGCTGCAAGCGCACGCATTCTTCTACGACGGTTTTGTCGATGCTGCAGTATCCTAGCGTGCCTTCCCAAAAAACTCTTTGCCCTCATGTGGTTCATGAGACCAGCTTGGCGGTCGGCCACCTGATTCCACTGAGCTGCATACGCAGCCACCGGGTCATCACAGTTACCTGGGTCTACATGAGACGGGACCCACTGCGCATACACCGCTCTGCAAGCCGGTATGAGTGCTTCAATCTCTCGCCATAGGTCCTGATGCCCAAGTCCTGCACACGTCTCACCATGCAGGAGTGCCAGAAGGCCTTCGAAAGCGAACTTGGAGTCAGTCCAAATGGTGAGCCCGCATCCTACATCTGCTGTCCACCGCAAAGCCACAAGAATGGCAAAGAGCTCACAGCGATCAATGGTTTGACACAGACCAACCATCAGGCCACTAGCCACCACCAAACTCATCTGTGCACAGACCGCTGCCCACGCACCCAAGGCCAGGTAGTCCTCAGCTCCATACATACATGAGCCATCAGTGAAAATGTCTACATGTGGGAGCTCGTTTGGGGGCCTCGTCCATTGCCATCCCATGTCTGGGAGCCCCACAAGGTCGCGCAAATGTCCACCCAGTTCAGGATGCCAGCAAGGAAGAAGCAATTCCGTGAGCGGTCTGTTGTCGCCTGCGTCCCGCACCAGTCCCCCGCCCTGAAAGAGCGGGCAATCAAATAGACGATGCTCCCTGGTATCAGGAACTTGGCAGTGCAAACAACAGTCTGTCTTGCTTAAGTCAAAGCAGGCCTGTTGCGAGGCAGTGATGGCGGCACCAGCCCGGACCATTCCCAGCCAGGCCCGCTGTTGCGCATTGTGCTGCGGACCAAGCTCGCGGGCCAACTGGATATCCAAGTCGCCCATGTCCCGAAGGGCTGCCCTGCTAGCTTGCCTCCGCATGACTTTCTGTGCCCACGCATCTTCAAGCAAGCGACGCAAGGAGCGCTTTGGCAAGGTGAGGAAGTCGTGGGAGGAACCGCGATGGTCCGTAACCTGAGGCGGCTCCAAGAAGCCCCAGTTCAACGCTTCTGCATGGTGATGCAAGGTGGAAAACGGACCTGCAAGACTACGACCATGAAAGTCACCCATAAACTCAACCCAGAGCTGTTGTAAGGTAGAGCTTTTAGAGGCAAGGCGTTGGAAGTCACGCATGCATGTCCATATCTGGAAGAATGCCGGGTCCAATTCCATCGGCCCCTCAGTCAGTGCGCGGAGATCCGGCCCTGCGCCTGCGCATGTCCATCCCAGTGCCCAGGCCATCTTAGCTCGCAGTTTGTCCACGGCGGTGTCCGATAGCCAGCACGATGCCGCACCATGGAATACCATGGGCCAGAACTTTGTGGTGACGGCTGCCCACTTCTGCCGCGCAGGCGCACGGGACCGACGTAGCACGGGCCATATAGGGGTCAACAGCTCCAGCCGTTGCGCCATGTCTGCAACACGGTGCCTGGGGCCGAAAGTCAGGTAACCACCAAGTTCACGCCTGTGCTCTGCGACGGTGAGCCCCAGCGAAACCAGCAACTTGCGGTCCTGGGCGGTCGTCGCCCAGAAGTAGGACTTCTCGTTATCAAGCTGTAAGCCCAGGATCTCCCAAAAGCTTTCCATGACACAAAAGCCACGTGCCGCAAGGTAAACTGACTCTGCTGTGACTGCAAGATTATCCACATAGGAAGCATGCTGCACACGAGGCTCAAAGAAGTGCATATACTGGTGGTAGAGGATGGAAGCCACACTCATGGCCGTGACCGAGAGGGGGTCTCCCTCAATGAAGCCCGACGTTGAAGCAACTGCCTCACTAACTGCTTCACCCATCAGGAAGCGTCGCTTGACCAGGGAGATGAACGAGACCCATGGCTTGAGCACGCATTGCGGGAAGCCGAGTCTGGCTGCCGCTCGGAGCAGTGGAACCCTTGGCAGGCCATTAAAGGCCTTCACCACGTCCGCCATTCCTCCGGCCAGGGGGACCCCTCGCAGGCATGCGACCTCTACCTGCGCTTGCAGAAAAATCCACATGTCCGCAGTTTCCTTAGCCGGCATGAATCCAAACATTTCTGCAGGTGCAGTCTGTGCTAAGGAGCGAAGCAGCTGCTTAGTACGAATGGATGCCCACACTCGATATATAACTGAGAGCAGGCATATTGGCCTATAGCCGTCAGCACCACTTCTGCCGTTCTGTTTGTTGACTGCGCACACGAACCCATTGAGAATCTGGGCTGGCCACTCCACCGTGCCATTTTCAATGGCGGTGAGCAGCCCTAACAGTTGTTCGACATGACAGGGGGCCATGTTGAGAAGGTCAAGGCGAGCATAGGCATCCGGTCCACGGGCTGCAGTCTTTTTGAGCTTGCGCACGGTGCAGAGCCACTGCTGGATGCCTAGCGGCGGAAAAACAAAACTTGCAACTGGCCGCAAAAACCTGGTGAAGTTGAGGATTCGATCCCAATGTTCGGGCCGGATCTCCACATGTTGGTTCCACCTAGGCTGCCAAAGTTCAATGAATTCTTCAAACACATGGGATGGTTCCGAGAGGAACTTTTCTTGCTCGATGTTAGAACCTTCCTGGATAAGGCAGATTTCCCCGGCGGGAACACTGCACAAGGCACCCTCAACCTTGGTAAGATGGATCGGATGTCCCTCTACACTGAAACATGAAGCACCTCTGCCAGAGGGAATCCCACCCAAGTGCAGTTGGTTGCTCACAACATCTACCCCCAGGACTTCGTAGGCATGGTGCCGGACAATCGTCTCGAGCACAGGTGGTCTGGCCGGACAAAGGCTGCGAAAAGAACCCTGGAGGATTCGGCATACTTTGACTGGAGGACAGAGCTGCGCTTGCGCAAGTGCCATGATTCCAACTTCCGATAGTTGCTATGGAAATCATCGTAAATGATAGCAGCCTGGGCCGCATTAGGCATTTCCTGCATCACTTGCGGGGCCCCATGAAGTCTGACCACACGTCTTGGCCACCAGTCTGCGAATGTAGGCGCGAAGCCTTTTGCATTCAAGACTGAGCGCCAGAGTTGGGAGCGGTATTGCCTCGCCTGGTCCGTCTGCTTACCGACACCGAGGGCATGCTTGAGGCTCTGTAACCTGCGCAGTCGCTGAAACCAACGCTTGACTTCACGTCCCAGCAAGTCATTGGCGATGACAGCCTCCCCCGGCCGGCTGGCCCGCAGAACCCCGGGACACACCTCCCTGGTGCTAGGCTCAATGCGAGTGGCACGGCCCTTGCATTGAACCGGCAACCCTTCGCTTGGACCCGCCACAAGTGGGGAAACCTCAGTCTCCCAGTAAAATCCTGAAACCATTGGGTGGAGTCTAGAACCCTAGGGTCAACCCTAAAGGGGGTGGCTGTTTGGTGCCAGAGGTCAACTTGCGTGTCATCCCATGGGATGGTGGATGGTCTGGGCCAGGTGAAGATGCGACACGCAGACGAAGGCACATGCAACTTTGCTTCCAGCACCACGTGGTCAACGAACGAGTGATGCACCTCTGAGCCTGAGCACAAAGCAGCAGCTTCCGGCGAAAGCCAAAGGAAGTCGTGACGGGTGGCATGCTTGCAGGTCATTTCCACCGCCTTCCCCCAACGCGCCAGGGCCAAATCTTGAATTTCCTGCCAACCATGGTCACGCCAAATGGCTAGCTCCCTGCTGCTGCCGGCCGGGCGGTTAAAGTCACCCCCAATCACCCGCGGGCCATGTCTACCCATTACCAGCTCCTCCGTGAGCGGGCGAAGGATTGCCTCAGTCTCTTCCCATGCCCGTGGGTGGGCCTGCGAGCGGGGGACACCATACACAGTGGCAGTCATGAAGGGCACGGAATGCACCTGATGTTGCACTATACCTACCCTGCCAGAGGTATAAATACCGTCTGGCCAGTCTATGCCTACGGGCCGAGACGGTCCACGATCCGGCCCATTCCGAGTGGGAACGCACTGGGGCGGGCGCACCAAAATGTGTGCGCAGGCGTCTGAAGCAGCTTCTGCCAAGTGCAAAGATGTGGCTCCTGCTGGACTTCTGAGATATGGCTGAAAGCTGTGTTTCAGCAATTAAGTAGATACCCTCACCGTGCTCGATCATGGCAGCTTCCTTGCCTCTGAGCCCGGTTGGGTTTGTAGCAAAGATTCTGACCTCCTCTGAAATGGGACCCGGGTTTTGCGCTTCCCCAAACCTCACACCGAGGCGATGCGCACAAACTGGGTCATTGTGGCTGCGGCAGACTGATTGACCTTGCAATGCTCCTGCTTGGAGTACACTGGCCAGGAACAGAATCAACCTGAAGAAGGGATTAAAGCCATTACGCGGCCTGCGCAGAATCCCCATAGCGCAGCCGGAGTGCCCTAGTCACGAGCGGCTTCTCCCATCTCGCTGCTTTTTAGATAGCAGCGCCTGAATTTGTTCCATCTGTGCCGTGAGCTGTGTACTCAATTGCGTGTTGAGGTCGTTGCGCATGGTGACCACGGCCTGTGATACCGTGTTACTCATGACCTCCCCCTGCGTGGCAATCTGGCCATGCAATTGTCCAATTTCCTGCCTTTGGCTTTGTACTGCTTGCTGAAGGGAGTGCACCTCACCGGCTTGTTGGTCCATGCGCTTTCCGGCTTCACTGAACCAATTCTCAAATTTCTGGCCCTGAGCCCGTAACTCGGTCAGACCTGTCTCCAGCTTTTGGAACCTGTGTTCTGTGGCTTCATCCAACGCCCTGCGTTCGGCCAAAGAAGATTGGACTGCGTCGTCTACCTCCTGCTTGAGTTGCTGCTGGACCTCTTTGATTTTGGATGCTGCACCTGCTGTGGCCTTAGGCACTTCGGGCTGTCCTCTGCGGTACTTCGCCCATGGATCCTGGCCGTTGGCCCACGGGTCCTCGCCTGTGCTGCTTGAGCTGGCGGAGCCTGCATGAATGTGTTTGCGCGTCTTGCTGGAGGCCAACACGGGTAGGGGCAAAGGGGGAGTAACGGGACTGCTTATCTGCACCGGAAGGACAAACCCAGAGCTCGTGGCTAAGGCTGCCGATGGCGGTGGGCATTCAGTCCCAATCTCCCAAGCACAACCTGTGGCATCTCCTCTCGTTGGCGCCAATGGTTTGGCTGACCAATTCCATGAGTCCAACAATTGCTGGAGGCCCTGTCTGGTAAGCCCATGCGGCAGTGGATGCAGCTTGTAACGGGCAGCAACACGTACCCGGGAGTAGGCATGTTCAGGCCTCAGGACTTTGAAGGCGGCTTCCTCTTCAGTGGCCTTAACTCTGACTCCGTATTTGCCCCCAAGCCGGGTCAAAGCCAACACTTTATCCGTTTTGCGCTTGCAGTGGAGTGCTGCCTGGTAATCCATGCCCGGCAACCATATTACTGCGAACTCCCTGCTGGGGCCTGTTGCATTTCCGGCTTCACGTGGCTCTACATAAACCCCTGGAGTGGAGATCTGTTGGAGTCCATTGACGGCTGAGGCAGGGACCCTTAGGAAAACCTGAAAGGAAGTTGCCTGTGCTGCAGTGGCCTTGGTACCATTGTCTAGTTGGTACTTGCGGGCCCACACTTCATGGATGACTGTGTCTGGAGCTTCATCGATCGAGGCGTGGAACTTGGCGCAATTAGTTCCACAACCCTGCCCCTTACACAGATTGAGTAGGGGGACCTGCTGCATGAGAGATTTGACTGGCGCTTGCAGAAAGGAGTCCCAGTCGCCGCCCCATTGGTCTTTATAGACTGTGACTTTGATGACACCTGTGCTGACCTGATCTGCACTCGTGTTTCCTGCAGCTGTCCTTACCTGGGTATCTCCCAGCTGTATCAACGTGCCTGCAACCAGAATGGGTTCCGAAGTAGGCCCATATATTGCAGGGAACCGAAGCTCTTGAGCTCGCTTACATGCCTGATCCAGGCCTCCGATCGGGGCTGTTGAAACTAAAGCAAGAGGCTCCACACTGATTGAGGCATCATCTTCCATGAAAGGCAATGCTTGGGCAGGAGAGCATACTGCCACCCCATGTGCATTTGCCTCGACGTCCTCGAAGCTCAGACTCGGGACAGTGGTACCGTCTCCGGTGATGAATGCACCCTCGATCAACTCAAGGTGCCTGGGGTCAAGTTGTGGGACACCCTTTTGCTTGGCACCTTTGCTTGGCTTGAGCTTGTGGCTTTTGGCCTCTGATGCTGCAGTCCCAAACTTGTTATCGGCACGCGCCCGGATTTGAGCTTCAAGTTCTTCTGCCTTGATCCAGCGGAAAGGCTGTGCCAGGCTTGAGGCAAGTGATTTGAGGACAGCCCACGGCTTGGAGGCCCTCAGGCCTTCCTCAATCTTGCTGGTACCAACTTTACTTGTAGCCTCTGCAACCCTTTCACCTACACGGTCTGCCGGGACGCCCTTGGAAATAAGAAGTTCAGATAATGCAACCTTTGCCTCAGGGCTGAGTGCTCCAGCTCCACAGTGCAGGGCTTGTCCATCAGAAAGACCAATGGCCTGGTCCTGGACCCAGTTAACAAGGCCAACTGAACCTGCGGCTAGGAGACCAGTGGCCAACAAGAGGTGGCATAGGGCAACAGCGCCACAACAACGGTTCCCCAAACCTTGGACCCAATCATTGCGAAGGGAGACTGGTTCCTTGTCAAACAGTCCCGCAGGACGGCAAGCAAAGCGCTTGCCTCTGCTTGTGTGCGCTCCGGCGCTGGATCCCAATGAACTGCTGCACCTGTCTCCCAGTCAACGGACAACAAGTACCAGTGGGCATTTGCTTCTGCAATGATGTGCAACCTCGTGGCGCCTGCAACCTCAATGCCTGACATGCACTGCAATGCACCTGAGGCCTGTAGGCACGTGAGGAGGGAAGCAGTGCGGGGCAAAAGCACCGCATGTCCTTCCGGCAGAAGTCTGGCAATGACTTGCAGAAAGCTGGCAATTTGACAGTCCGTCAATTCATCTGGCTCACAACTTATCTGCTGCAGCGGTCTGGCATCCAGAAGGTGGCGCCCGAATAGACGACAGTGCCTGGGAACCGCTTCTTGCGTGCTGGCAAACCTGAGCTGCCTGTCTCCTTGCAGACCTGCGAGGCTGAGTACCTGGCATGGCAGGGCACCTTGGGCAAGGCTGAGTTGAATCGCCCCTCCCGGGACGCATACGAGCACATGGCAATGCTCTGACACAGGGCGCTGCTTCTTGGGGCTGACGCACAGGACATATGGCTCTGAGGGCTGTGCATGCAGGTAAGCATCCTCGCCTAAGACACGTGAGCCTGCTTGGATCCTGATATTGGACCCCGGGCCCTGCAATTGCTTCTCTGCACGAACCACCTCTTTGACCTGCACGGCACCTGTCACCTTGACCTTTATGCAGTTACCTAGCTGCAGGAACGTCAGTTCCCTGGGAATGCCCATGGATGGCAACTTCCAACAGTCCTCTCGTTCTTGGAGCAGTTTGTTCTTCAGGCGGTCAAGCGCTTGCATCGGCCCTTCCAAGGGTTCGAGCCCGTGACGAAGCTCCCTGAACTGTCTGACCTGTGCAAATATCCAGCAAGATTGGATCGGTGATGCTATTTGGCCGATGAGACGCAATGCCGCACGAAGGTCAGGCTGGTGCACAAACCTGACACTAAGGCCATTGAGCAAGCCTACCTCATGGGGGTGGGGGTGTCTAAGGGCAACCTTATCGTCAAACGGAACCCCAAACCCTCTAAGGCCAGAGGTACGGAGACGATGCAGGGAGAGCGGTCCTCTGCATCCGCAAGGGCAATGTCTGAGCTGCGAGCCCCAGCTATGTAATGCAGTAGGAGCAACACCACACAGGTCTAGAACCCTAGGGTCATTACCTAGTGCTGGGTCAAGGAAATGCTTGGTCTCCTCCTCGTCCCACTGGAGTTGCTCAATTGCTTGGGCTTCCCAGCTGGGCCACTCACTGATCACATCTGCAATGCATGGCGTCGTGGCCTGTCTGGGCCAGGCCTCGAGCTGAAAGGGGGTGTCCGCTGGCACAAGTAGGCACCACCATCTTGAGCGCCTGCATGGCCACTGGTCCGACAGCTCCAAGACAAGGTGATGCTGACGCCAGCCAAGCTTACCTACCAGCTCTGCCAACATGGTGCGGACTAAGGGGTGTCTCTCTGCTTCCACAACACACTCTAGAACCGCCCCTTCAGGCTGCAGAAACCAGATTGCGAGCAACACATGTGTGAGCGTGTGTGCCCGCTCGTCAAGGAATCCACGTCCATCTCCCTGTCGGCTGAACGGCTGACAAGGGAACCCCGCCGTAATCATGCATGCCTTGTCCGGGTCAATCTCGTGCAAAGCGATTCTTGACTCTCTTGCAGCAATGTCTGCCTTCAACGCCCGACCCCCATTGTCAGAAATTGTGGCACATGCAATGTCACAATGGTCCAGAAAGGCAAGAGTACGAAAGCCCGATACGTATGCCCCTGCCGAGAAGCCACCGATTCCTACGCAAAGCTCCTTGATGTGAATCTCCCTCGACTTAGGGTCACTCGGCTTGCGAAATTTCTTGGAACCAGTGCACGGCCTCAAACATGTCCCCATTTCTGCTGAGACAATGTAACCATACAATGTCCAGACTCCTGGCTCCAGAACTTCAAGAATGCGACACTGGCATCCAAACCACAGGTCCCGAACCAACGTATGTCCCTCTCGTAAGGTCAAAACTTCTACAACAATGTCCATGGACTCGCCCATAGCCATGTCCTCTAGCCTCCGCAGTGGCAGTACCATCCCTCGAGCGCTAGCCGACACAGTTTCCCCTACTGGTAGGACCTCGAGCAGAAACTTTTAGGGTTTAGGGTTTA